GAAGGTCCAAGGGCTGATTGAGTCAGCCCTAGCATCTCAACATGCCTCCTTTAGGCAAGAGATAGAGCTAATGGAAGCCAAACACACTGAGCTGATAGAGAAATCTGAAAAGAAACACAGCGCTGATCTCAAGGAGATAAGTAAATCAGTAGAAAAGACTCTAGAGATCATCTCTCTATTGAGTAAAACTGTGAGCAATACGATGGAAATATACACCTCTGACAGTCAACTGCAATTCAATGAATTCAACAAAGTCAAGGAGCAAATAGCAAATGTCACAATTGGTCTGCAAAAACAGATGTCCCTTCTCCAAATGGACATCAGATCAGCCCTAGCTATAGCTTCAGCAAATCAAGTAGTAACCAAAGACTACTTGAAGGTGATCATTGACAATCAAAAGGAAGCATACAAGCTGTTCAGACTTATTGGTGCACATTCTGGGAACCGCAAGATGGAAGTAATTCTCCAACAACACAGTCCATCTCCAATACCACAGCTCCCTATTGCAGTCAACGAAGGAGAAGCATCTTATGTCCCTTCTCATCTGCACATGACTAATCTGATTCTTGAAGCACAGCAAAGAAATCCGGAAAACTCAGCACAGCACCTATCCAGCTCAGGACTGGATGGAACAGAATTTACAGGTGCAGTGGCTGACCACTTCTCAGATGCTGCTCAAACAGAGGAAAGGCGTGAAAACTTAAGGCGCATCAAAGAACTGTGTGGGAACATGCAAGGCATCAGTGAAGTTGCCGGATCTTCAAAACGCAAAAGGAACTGAAGGTTCTTTTCATCAAACCAGGGGGAAAGTATGTGAAAACATTTGTTTTGATGAAAACACCTTCTTGTTTAACCATTGCTTGATTGGTTTAAACATTGCTTAAGTATGCCTTAATTGTGCTTATTATGCTTGATTATGCTGATCTCAAGTATGATTTTGTCTTAATTATTTTTCTGAAGCGCATACATTCAGGGGGAATGTAATTCAGGGGGAACTTACCTAGTTTTGGCTAACAATTATTTTTTTGGCAATAAATTATTGATAAGCTCAAAGCAATGGAAGACGGATATCTCAGTTTTGGTACTAAAATTGGAAATCTCCGATTCAGGTACCTTACACAATCTGCCTTCTTAAACTAAGCTTTAGTCCTTAATTCATTTCCAACTAGCTCTAAAAGTACTGGTCCCTAGGATGTTTAAAAATGTACAGGACTTTGGAAAAATAGTACCTCTTTTCTTTTAAATATTCATATTTGTTTTGGTACTACCTCGTCCTAAGTAGAAATTAGAACTATAGGGAATGAAAAATGATAGTCTTATTTTTTTTTTGGGCCTTGAGAACCCAATAGGAATAATTTCCCTCTAGTACATAGCTTTCTTTTCTTTTTGGGCCACTCTTTTGGGCTTAGCCAAACCAGAACAGTTACGTTTCTCAAACCAATCGAAACTGATTTTCTAATTAAAACAGTTTCAATTCCTTGGTAACTGGTAAAAGATTCCTTCTACTTTTCAACTTCTTGGAAGTTGAAACTCCTTTACTCTCACCGTTCCAACTACCCACTTAATGGAACCCGTGAAACTCCTCCTCCCCTATTTAAATCAAGGTATCTCAATCCACTTTCATCACAAACAACTCTC